GAGAGTTCCGGTGGTCAACTCCCCCACTGCCCGGTTTGTGACCAAGCCTCCTGGTGGATCAGAGCCTGATCAACCAGGCTGTTACTGCTGGCTGCACGCAAACCAACGTACGAGCCACAGCCCGGCTGGTCAGGAACCGACTTTAGGTGCTTGTCCAGTGCCAGCTTGAAGACTGCCAGGGGTCTGTTGGTAATCCCCCTTATGTATGCTGAGAGGCAGTTGAACAGTCTCGGGCCCCTGACACTTATTGTATGGTCTCTTAACGCGCTAGTGACACCCCTGCTTTTCATTGGGGGGATGTTGCATCGTCTGCCAAGTCTTTTGCTTTCGTAGTGAGTGATTTTCGTGTGCAAGTTCGGTACTAGTCCCTCTAGGATTTTCCAGGTGTATATAATCATGTATCTCTCCTTCCTGCGTTCCAGGGAATACAGGTTTAGGAACCTCAAGCGCTCCCAGTAATTGAGGTGTTTTATCTCTGTTATGCGTGCCATGAAGGTTCTCTGTACATTTTCTAGGTCAGCAATTTCACCTGCCTTGAAAGGTGCTGCTAGTGTGCAGCAATATTCCAGCCTAGATAGAACAAGTGACCTGAAGAGTTCTCAAGGTTCTGAAGGTTCTCATTATCCATCTTTGTGGCCAGAATTTTTATTGTACTCTGATGAAGATTTAATTTCCTCGTGTTTACCATATCTGAGTAATTGAAATTTCTCATCGTTGAACTTCATATTGTTTTCTGCAGCCCACTGAAAGATTTGGTTGATGTCTGCCTGGAGCCTTGCAGTGTCTGCAATGGAAGACACTGTCACGCAGATTCGGGTGTCATCTGCAAAGGAAGACACGGTGCTGTGGCTGACATCCTTGTCTATGTCGGATATGAGGATGAGGAACAAGATGGGAGCGAGTACTGTGCCTTGTGGAACAGAGCTTTTCACCGTAGCTGCCTCGGACTTTACTCTGTTGACGACTACTCTCTGTGTTCTGTTAGTGAGGAAATTATAGATCCATCGACCGACTTTTCCTGTTATTCCTTTAGCATGCATTTTGTGCGCTATTACGCCATGGTCACACTTGTCGAAGGCTTTTACAAAGTCTGTATATATTACATCTGCATTCCTTTTGTCTTCTAGTGCATCTAGGACCTTGTTGTAGTGATCCAATAGTTGAGACAGACAGGAGCGACCTATTCTAAACCCATGTTGCCCTGGGTTGTGTAACTTATGGGTTTCTAGATGGGCGGTGAACTTGCTTCTTAGGACCCTTTCAAAGATTTTTATGATATGGGATGTTAGTGCTATCGGTCTGTAGTTCTTTGCTGTTGCTTTACTGCCCCCTTTGTGGAGTGGGGCTATATCTGTTGTTTTTAGTAACTGTGGGACGACCCCCGTGTCCATGCTCCCTCTCCATAGGATGGAAAAGGCTCGTGATAGGGGCTTCTAGAGCGACGAGAATTCTTCCAATTTTCACTAACATTTCTCTTGGTCAGTTCAAAACAATGGCGACTCACCCCAGCGACACTAACCAATTATGCTGGTTCTTTATTTATTTACAAATTAATTTTTATTACCTACAATATATTCCATCAATTTACATACAAAATACACTGTATTTTTGGAAAATATTCAATATTTTCCACAGGAACTGTTGTAGGACGCTCTTGATTTGTTGGTGAGAAGATTGGATGGTCAAGTGACCCCATTCTGCTTACTGTTTGATCGGAGTTGATATGGAACCCACCGTTGTCATACATACTGTTTAATTAGAGCAGGGATCGAACCCTCCGGTTTCTTTAATACAATCTCAGTGGAGTAGGAATTGACCCCTCCATTTTCTTTGCTATCAGTTTCATTTTCTCTAGTAGTTAAGTTATTTTTGCAAGGATGGACGAATATCAGTTTTAGATGCACACCAGAAGTAATCTAGGAATAACAGGGAAAAATTTAGAAGCTTTCATTGTCACCAAGAGAAAGAGAGAGAAAAGAGAAAGAGAGCATTGAAAGAGGAGAGAAAAAGGAGAGAGAAAGAACTGAAAGAAAGAAGAAGATAGCATTCGACTCCTGGCGAGTCCTGATTTAATAAAGGGATGGTGTTTCCCAACTGCCTAATAAGATTTACAAAATCATCTAGAGAGCTCAGTAGCGATCAGATTTCACAACTCTATAGAGGTGATAAATCTAACATGTTTGTCATTCTGTATGCGACTGAATACTCAGGTAATATGAACCATCTACCGAGTGATAATGAGACGTTTGAACTACTCGTTAAGAACCCTCTGGACCAAGTCAACTGCCACTTCAATAAACGCCTTAAAACGTTACTGAAGGGGAATGATGAACTAATTAATCTATCAGCCAGGTCGGAAAATCTACCGTTCGTCCTGTTATACGTTCAGTTGGGTAAACTTCTAACTACAATGGTCGGGAGCTATTTTGAGACATCCTGTTTAATTACTAAGTCAATGTTAATTTAACGATAATACTTGTCATAACTGAAAAGAAACAGCATTTAATGTAAAATATTGGGTATATACTACTGTAATTTTTAAAATAACAGATTAGATTCTGACTATCACGGTTCAGGAACACATCTCTGGGATGATCTCGGATGCGCATATTAAAAATAATGTTGACATTACTGAGAGACTCAAGAAATTAAATGCTTTACATGACATTACCTTTCTGAGTTTTGATGTTACAGCCCTGTTTATCAGAGTCTCTCTCCATGATGTAATTACGTACTTTGGAGAGGAATTGGAAATCTTCTACAAGCCTTACCTCAAGAATATAATTACCCTTTGTCGGGTAGAGGCAGGTTTGACTGCCTTTAAACACGTGCACCATTACGTGTGTCATCCTACTCGCACCACGCATCTGGATTCCCGTTCTTTAATTCAGACCAATCACAAGTCTTCCCTGAGTCGCTTCAGATAAGTGGTGATGGCGTTTGCCGGCTTCCCATTGGTTAAGAGAACAAAATGTAAACACTTCTGGCTTGGCGTCACCCAGAGTGGGTTTTTTCAATCTAGTGTCACTAATATACTCTTGGATTTTTACCCTCTACAATGTCGGTAAGCACTGATTGTTGTGTTTAGTGTGTACATGAATAGTTTAGGCATATTTTGATATATACATAAAGTCTGTGTGAAGCATAATGTGAGTGTAGCGTGCAGTTGAAAAAAGTGCAACAAAAGAAGGGCAGTCAGGACTGCCTCTGCCCGAGTAGGGACATAGTCCACTTTCAGTAAAATAAATATTTATAAAAAAAATTCTACTGCATATATGAATTCGGTAGTGGTCTGGATGTATACAGAACGTTTTTATTGTCCTTCCAGATCAATGAGAAATTGTTTTATGGGGAGCCCTCCAACACTAGGTCAAAATGTCTGCATTTTAGATGACAGTGACTCAGAACCAGAGGTAGATGACCCTGAATTGCTTAATAGTGGTGATGAATACTTGCCACTGGATGCAGAGGTGTCAAGTGATGATGAGGAGGAAGAAAGGCCAGCCAAAAAGCAGAAATTAGTCAAGAAAAAGAGAGGCATTACGATCGAGGAGTACCCTGATGAGGAACATATTTATGATGATCTTGCTCTTCAAGTTGAACCTAAGTGGTCCCAGGTTGACCTCCAAAATGACCCTTTGCTTCACAGACTTCCATTCTAGCAATTAGTAATATACAATGATTGCTCTTCCTCATGAATCTCAGGAACATGGGACTTGAAAGTTTTATCCCTTTGCAATGTGTCCTTGTTGCTATTTCTTTCATTTTTATATTTTTCTAATACTAACAAAATGTTTTGATACAAGTTCCATTGATGTTTTTGATATTATATGTTTGTATAATAAATTTTAAAAATAGTTATTGGGTGTTTTATTAACAATTGCAAGTTTGCAACATTCAAATTTATACTCCCTATTTCGGGCATGGGCGAGTTTAACTGCCTTTCGCAGATTAGCAATTTCTCGGAAACAACCATCAGAATTCCATTTATATGGCCTCATTCATCTTATATTAAGTTACTCTATCCACTCTAAAGGAGTTAAGTATGAAATTCCATTATATCAGACATTGCCCGACAAAGGGTTAAACTGATTAAACTTTGTGTTACTGACCACAAGTTTGTGTTTGAAGGCTAATACAATGCTCAAAAACAAGGCATAGCCTTGGAAAATCTTCTCCGTCCTTACTCAGATCCTACCTAGATTCAGGTATTTAAGTTAACAAAGAATGAAATAAACAACATTCTGCCTCTCCTAGATATTTGAATCCATAGAGTTGACAGGAGATTCAGATTTACAGTTTACATGACGTCAACCAGTGTGTCGTCATACATTCACTATAATTCCACTCTTGAATCTAGGGTTAAAAGGAATGTTTTCCTTACAATGTTACCGAGAGTCTTGAGTATCTGCAGCCTGGAGTATTTAAGATAATTTGGACAGCTCTTGCAACAACCCACCAGGGTGGGCTACAGCCCAAGTCATTATACCCAACAGTTTTTGCTCTTGAAACATGATAGGAATGCCTTATATAACTCAAGTTATGGGTTATACAAACTCTATAGCTTTTTAATGGAGTGTCTTGTGCTCAACCTTAAGCAAGAGTGCTGTAAAAAATTGCAGGATTGCTTATTATGCCACGGGGCCTCATGAGAATTTGGTGACGTTAGACCAATGTTCTCCATACTTATACTGAAACGATGCACTGGAATGTCTTCTTGCTGCACTGGAATCTTCCCAAAGTTTTCACTCGGAGTCCTGTTCATTCTTGACCTGGTCAGCCTTTTTGATCAGGAGTTGTTCTTAAAAATCTCACAGCTAGCCTGCCACTTGTTGGTAAGACTCTTAATTGTGTCCAGCTCTTCATGCAAGGCATGGGTGTTAGCGTTTCCTTTCTTTGATGTAAAGAGATTTCTCCCATTTTCATGTATAACCCTTATAGGTTTAGGTCTTCCCCTGAATGCTGTAATAATATATTTAATGGTAGGAATTACTACTCACCCTTGTCACAAGAACTCTGTGTCGAATGGTGACATCGTGTGAGCGCCAGGCCACCTGCAGGAGGGAGAGACCACCTGCACAGGTGGTTAGTGGTGCACCTGCTGCCACCAGAAGACTCAGAATCTTGGGTCTGTTGCAGGTGACTGTGAGGACGAGGGCACTGGTGTAGAAGTCACCAACAGGCTCAATGGGCGCCCCAGCTCGTATCAGTTTAGACGCAGCCATCATGTCGTCATCCGCGCTGATCACCGATAAAAGTTCCTTGTACAACGCAGCTGGATCTTCACTTGTCTATATGGTAAAGTAAATATAGCAACATTCAGTTCTCAACCATAGAGCTTAAGTAACTAATGTAACCTTAGATTGTGTAGCAAATCAAGGGATACTTTCACAACAAAAATTACTTTGAAACAGTTGCTAACGAAATTTACTTAGGATTGTCTGAAGGAAGAATGAGAAAAATTGCCTACTCTAAAACATATGAAATAAAACTTGAATAAATAGCCCCAAGTTATTAAAGAGTTGAATGACTTAAAGCGAATTAAGACCGAATAATAACACACGTTGTAACTCTCTACTTAATAATTCTGAAATAACAAGTTGAGTACTCAAGACATAAACATAGCAACGCTCCTTGTTAATTGCAAGTTATGTGGTAGAGTAACACAAAACACATAGTAACACTCCTTGTTAACTGCAAGTTATGTGGTAGAGTAACACAAAACACATAGTAACACTCCTTGTTAATTGTAAGTTATGTGGTAGAGTAACACAAAACACATAGTAACACTCCTTGTTAATTGTAAGTTATGTGGTAGAGTAACACAAAACACATGGTAAGATTCCTAGTTTAAAAACAACAGAATAAGATATTGAGTGACATCAGTTAAATTGACCCTGAATTAACCTACCAGTTAATTAATACTGACACATTTTTAGTAGGTGCAGCTAGTTACAAAAAAAAAAATCAGAGTTCACGAAAAAATATCCGAAATAAATATACTCCACATCATATAACAATATTCCCAGATAAAATTTTTGTTTAATTTTGGTGGACACATATTGTTCTATAATAATGACAGTACTACCTCTTTTCCTTATACAATTCCCATCCCCACCTCCTCTACTATATGTTATGGCTTCTGTGTGACTAGTTTAGGGTTCAAGTCGAACCGAAATATTGTCATAAGTTTCAGTCTTAGAGAGAGAGAGAGAGACAGACAGACAGACAGAAGACAACGAGAAACAAGCTTCTATACCACAAGATGGGCAGAAAGCAGCAACTTCACTCTGGCTCGAATCTGGAACACATTTGTACATCATTATGATGTCAACAAGATAGTCAGTTGATCAAATGAAAATGCTCACCCACAGATGGCACCAACTTCATTCTGTTCTCTACTTGTATGTTTCATAACAATAAAAATGCTTTCAAATGAGCTGATGTAGGTAACAGCTCTTAGCTTGTCAATAAAGTTAGGAATCCTTAACATGTATATAGCTTGTCAATAAAGCTAGGGATCTTAACCTAACCTTGTCAACCTCTTTAAGGGGGCTCCTTGTCGTGATAAAGAGGCTATCGGTCTGAGGAATTGGACCTCTTGGTCTTCTTCCTCCAACCAAACCTAATTACCCCCTAATCCCCCCCTTCCCTAACCCTTCCTCCCCATACCCTCCCTTTTTCCCTTCCCTCCTCTCTCCCAACAGTGCTGTGTAGCCCTTGTGGTTTAGCGCTTTTTTATTATAATAATACCCTCTCCCAAACCTCCCCTTTTCTCGGTCCCGTTTGTAGCCTCTGGGTTCCTTCCCTCTGGCATTGCAGTTTCTAGGTGGGGATTGGCATGCTGGGGTTCGTCCCCTTCCTTGAGGTCCCTTGGGCGTGGTGTGGTTTGCCATGGAATCTGAATTGTCTGAGGATGCCCTACTTCCTTCCCGGTTTCCTGGTCGTGGGCAGGGTGCTCTTCGGGTGATGGGTGTATCTCCGGAAGCTGCCTGTCAGTTCTGGGGGGTGGCAGCCAAAGGAGGTATGCTTTGTGGTAGGTTTCCGACCGTCCTTTTTTTCGTCCACCGAGGTAGCTCGGTAGATATGAGGCTGCTATTCCGGAGTGCTGGTTTACTGGCGTGAAGGGTAGGGCATGGCACGGGCTCCACACTGCATCTTCACCGCCAGTGGGCTCGGGGCCCTCTCGGATGAAGGGAGGAGCTTTCGGCCGCTCCATGCCTCCTAGCAACTGTCCCTCTGCTGTCTCTCTTTTTTTTCTTTCCTCCTTTCATTTTTTCTTAAAAAACAAGAAAGGAAATATCATGGAAGATGCACCTATTGCTATGAAATCTTCACTCAATGTAACTCTTCGTCCTCCCAGGCCCCATTCTGATCCCACGCCCTGTTCTGTCCTGGTTTCAACTTGGAGGTATAATATTTTGGCCCAAGCCCACTCCTTAAGCCTCAGAGGTAATCTACCATACTTCCTTAAGAACTTTTTAACTGAAAGACATTTCCATGTTTGGGTTAATAATGTGCTCTCCCCGGACTTTATCCAAGCTGAAGGTGTCCCCCAGGGATGTGTTCTGAGCACAACACTTTTTCTCCTTGCTATAAAAGACCTGACCTCTAGTCTTCCACCCAATATTTGGTCGTCATTCTATGCTGATGACTTAGCTATTGCCTGTGCAGGTACTGATTGTCACCTCATTACAGTTTCTCTCCAGCATGCAGACGACCGTGTTTCCAATTGGGCCACCACACATGGGTTTAAATTTTCCAGTACCAAAACTCACCAAATTACTTTCACAAGACACTCTGTCATCTCTGATCATCCTTTATACCTCTATGGCTCCCGTATCCCTTAACGTGATACAGTCAGGTTTCTAGGCCTCCTCTTTGACCATAGGTTATCCTGGAAACCTCACATTACCTCTCTGAAGGCAACTTGTCACAGCCGGCTGAACCTTCTTAAAACCCTTGCTCGTCTTCCATGGGGAGCTGATCGTCGAACTCTCCTTCGTCTACATTCCACCCTCATTTTATCGAAACTTGATTATGGTGGCCAGATCTATTCAGCGGCCTCTCCTGCTACTCTCTCTAGCCTTAACCCCAGTCATCACCAAGAATTACGTTTATGACTTGGTGCTTTTCGCTCTTCCCCTGTCGGGAGCCTCTATGCAGAAGCGAACATTCCATCCTTATCCGATCGCCGTGATGCCCATTGCCTTCGCTACTATGTACGCTCTCATAATCTCCGTAATCCTTCCATTTATAGAATGGTCACCGATATTAGTAGACTTTCTTTATTTGTTCGCCACCCTTGTTTGCTCCGTCCCTTCTCTCTTCGCCTACATTCGCTCTTGTCTTCTCTTCAATTACCACCTTTCTATGTTCATGCTGCATCTCACTTTTCCCTACCCCCCTGGGAAGTTCCAGCTGTTTGAGTCTGTTCTTTCTCACTCCCTTGCTTGAAAGCCCAACTGTCTATGGTAGCTTCCCGCTCTCTTTTTCTTGACCACTTCCACTCTCATTCTCATGCCATTGCAGTGTACACAGATGGCTCTAAGTCTTTTGACAGCGTAGGATTCGCAGCATTGTTTCCGGACAGCGTCGTACTAGGGCATTTACTATCTTCGGCTAGTATCTTTACCTCTGAATTGTATGCCATTCTTGCAGCACTTATCCGTATTGCATCTGTGCCTGTGTCATCGTTTGTGGTTGTCTCTGACTCCCTTAGTGCTTTACAGGCTATACAAAAATTTGATACACCTCACCCCTTAGTCCTCCATATCCAACTTTGGCTACGCCGCATCTCTACCAAGCATAAAGAAATTGTTTTTTGTTGGGTCCCTGGTCATGTTGACGTACAGGGCAATGAACAGACAGACACTGCTGCACGGTCAGCAGTACATGACCTACCAGTTTCATATAGAGGTGTTCCATTTAAGGACTATTTTGCTGCAATAGCTACCCATCTTCACACCCGTTGGCAACAACGTTGGTCTACTCTACTCGGTAACAAACTTCAATCTATTAAACCGAGTATAGGTTACTGGCCGTCTTCTTGTCACCAGTGTCAAGGTTGGGAGACTACTCTCTCCCGTCTTTGCATTGGCCAATCTCGTCTTACTCATGGATATCTCATGGAGAGGCGCCCTGCTCCTCTCTGTGAGAATTGTCAGGTTCCATTATCAGTCAGCCACATTCTGTTAGACTGCCCATTTTATCAACGAGCACGCAGAATTTACCTCCAACGTCGTCTTCGCTCTGCTGCTCTCTCTTTACCTTCTCTTCTCTCTGATGGACCCACCTTTCATCCGGACTCTCTCATTGACTTTTTGACAACAACTGACTTACTTCACAAACTCTGATGATACCTTCAGCCCTTTCTACCTCAATCTCTTGCTACCCTCTTCCCCCACACTATCCCCTGCCCTGCTGTTTTCTGTAACCTACTGATCATCCCTTCCCCCTTCTGCCGCCCAATACCCTCGCTACCTTCCCTACCCTGCAGCGCTGTATAGCCCTTGTGGCTTAGCGCTTCTTTTTTATTATAATAATAATAATAATCTGACCTGGTTTCATTATCGGACCATTCTCTCGACTCTTCTCATACCCCTGTACCTTCTGCAGTGATGCTTCATCACCTGCTTCAGGTGCTGTGGTGTCACCCGTTTCAGTTCATACTGCTGCTTCTAGCACGACTTTCACAATGCGTCCGGCTTCCCCGAACATGGTGCGATGGTTCTCGGATCGCCCACCTCCCTCGGGTCAGACCGCCTGCAGTTCTACTAAGCATCCACGACAACCTACTGACAACAGTTCGTCAATGACTGCCCAGTAACGACCTACACGACACTCGCTACCTTTGAATACCGAACTATGCAATGGATAAAAATCTTTTCTTTACAAACATCTCAAACTGATTGTTTCTGACCACGGAATTGGTAAAGCTCTTTTATGGCATGTTGGCCAAAATATATCTTTCCATGCTCATCGAAGTGGAGCATGTGTCATAACAGTGCAGAATTCAGAGCAAGTTCATGCCCTCTCCTGCATCACTTCCATAGATAACATACCAGTCACTGTTTGTAAGCACACTACTCTTAATTCTTGCAGTGGTAAGGTGGTCTTGCCGTGTACCGTTGTACAGAGCAATCTTTTGTCTTGCGGCGAGGATATTTTAGAATAATAAGCCCTTCAGAACTTCCATATCCCCAAGGCAGTACGCTGAGGTCAGTGGTCACGTGTGGTCATAACTGTGTAAGCTCTTGGGAGTTAGCGTGGGGTGTTACCAAGCACCATGGCTTGTTGTAGTGTTTTAGAATCTCAGGTTCAAGCATTGAAGAAGGAGGTTCTTCTTCAGGATGAAAATAGGAGGCTGAAGCTTTGCATAGATGGGTTTGGGAGTGAGTGTGAGATGGATTTAGCTGGTAAAGAGGAAATGGTCATAAGGAGTGAGAGTGGCAGCTGCTTTAAGTGGCAAGATGTTCACAGATCAGGAAGAAGGAAGATAAGGAGAGTAATAGAGAAGACATGAAGGTAGGAAATCGATTCTTTTTTTTCCATGACAAGTGTACTTCAGTGGTTAGTGAGGCTGAAGATGCCACTGATTCCCCTGCTAATCAAGGTAAGAATATTCTAATTGTAGGAGATTCTCAGGTAAGATATATGGACCATGCTTTTTGTAACAGAGATAGAAAGTTCAGACAGAGAGTGTGCCTCCCGGGAACTGGTGTTGATGACATAGTCAGCAGATTGGATAATATGTCAGGTAATGGGAACAAAGCCATTATCTGTCTTGCTAGAGGGTAATGAATTGAGTAAGGGCATGGAGCAAGCTGCTGGTACTAAGAGCACAGGTCAGAACGCATGACAAGTAGTCAGTTAAGGGAGGGATCCAGTCATATGGTAATGCTCTCTTGCCATAGAAGGGGTAAGTGGGCTTGAATGATAGATGTCTAGGGCAATTGGTATACATTGCTGGCTAGACAGGTACTGAAAGGAACTTGCAATCCCATTCATTGATAACTGGAACACCTTCTATGACAAACGTGATATGTATGCAAGGGATGGGGTTCATCTCTCTGGGGTTGGAATGGTTGCATTAGCCAATTCGATTGAGGGGGTAATTGATGACTTGTCTAGGACGTTGAACTGATAGATTATAGAGGTATGAGTGTTTGTGGGAAACAATCAGGCTGCAGTATTAGGGTTGAAAACAGCAGATGTTACCGTGATACCTCAGGGATATGTTTGGAAGACAATATTAAAAAAAAAGTTGCTAGTAAAGGCAAATCAATTGATGAACAAAGAGAGATAGTAGGGGGCAACGAGTGACTAGCTCCTTTAAGGTTTACTATACAAATAGTATTAGTCTAAGAAATAAGATACATGAGCTAAGATTACTTGCAAGTGCAGGTAATATAGATATTATTGGTATAACAGAGATCTGGTTCATCCTTAAAGAGAAATGTCTTATGAATGCAACATTCAGGGTAATAAATTATTCCACACTGATAGGGTCAACAGGAAGGGTGGTGGAGTGGCGATATATGTCAGAGATAATTTAAATTATCTTAGACATTGTATAAGGTTAGAAACATTGGACACAGAATCTGTTTGGCTACAGTTTGTCAAGGGTCGTGACAAATTAATTTTGGGTTTGATTTATAGGCCCTCAAACCTTGACAGAGAGTGCAGTAAGCTGTTATGGGACGAAATTTATAAGGCAAATAGATATGAAAATGTTGTGTTAATGGGAGATTTTAACTTTAGACAAATTTATTGGCACAATATGACAGGAAATTTTGGGTCTATTGACTTTCTTGATACGGTTTAGGATAGCTTTTTAAAACAGTTTATGACAGAACCAACTAGAGGAAACAATCTGCTTGACTTGGTTCTTGCCAATAAAGAATCACTAATTAATAATCTTGAGGTTAATGATGAGCTTGGGGAAAGTTATCACAGATCACTTAGTTTCAATATATCATGGAATTACCCAGATAACTGCAATCAAATCTCTGTCCCAGATTTTCGCTTGGCCGATTTCATGGGACTGAGAAATTATCTGGGTGGGCTAAATTGGGATGACCTAACTATGGGTCAGGTAGGTGATCTTGGTTGCCAATACGGCTTTTTCAGAGCATAGTTCTAGCTGCTCAGACAACTTTTGTTCCGAGTAGGGAAATTATATCTAACAAAAATGATCCCAGTTGTAATCCTGAAGCACTATTGAATCTTACTAAATTCTAATGGATAATTGGACAAGTATACTGACTACTTGTTACAAAAACCCAGTAACAGGCTGGATGCTAGAAGGGCAGTCCTTTCTAGTATTCACTGGAGATCTCTATGCTTATTATAAATCACATTTTTTGTAACACAGACAAATAGAGAAATTAAAACCTAACAAATCCCCAGGCCCTGATGAACTGTTTGCAAGAGTGTTAAAGGAATGTAAAGAGGAACTTAGCATACCTTTGGCTAATCTTTTCAAAATATCACTACAAACTGGCATAGTGCCTGATAAGTGGAAAACGGCAAATATAATACCTATTTACAAGGCAGGTGACAGGTCCTTAGCTTAGAACTATAGACCAATAAGCCTTGCATCCACAGTGGGAAAATTTACGGAATCAATAATTGCCGAAGCAATTCGTAGCCATCTTGATAGGCATAAATTGATTAATGAATCAACACGGATTTACAAAGGGGCATTCCTGTCTTAATTAAGAATTCACTAAGGTTTTTGAGGAGGTAGATTATGGTAATGAATATGATATTGTGTATATGGACTTCAGTAAGACTTTCGATAGAGTTCCACATCAGAGGCTATTGAGGAAACTCAAGGCACATGGAATAGGAGGAGAATTTTTTTCCTGGGTAGAGGCAAGGCTGACAAATAGGCAGCAGAGAGTTTACATAAATGGGGAGAAATCAGAATGGGGGTACATCACAAGCGGTGTTCCACAGGGGTCAGTGTTGGGCCCGTTGTTCACAATATACATAAACGACATATTGAACATTAAAATGGTATAAAATACCGACAGGTTGTTAGGTAAGACACATATGCAACAGTTAGGTATCTTTATTTCGAAACGTTTCGCCTACACAGTAGGCTTCTTCAGTCGAGTACAGAAAAGTTGATAGAAGCAGAAGATACTTGAAGACGATGTAATCAGTCCATCACCCTTAAAGTTTTGAGGTGGTCAGTCCCTCAGTCTGGAGAAGAGCATTGTTCCATAGTATGAAACAATTGGCCCTTCTGTATATAGGATAGTCATTGATGTTAGTAAACATTCTTTATTAGTTCGTCACCCCTGTTTACTCCGTCCCTTTTCTCTCTGCCTACATTCACTCTTGTCTTCTCTTCAGTTACCACATCTCTATGTTCATGTAGCCTCTCACTTTTCCCTGTCCCCTTGGGAAGTTCCGGCTGTTCATGTCTGTTCTTTCCCACTGCTATGAGCGAAAGCCCAACTACCTATGATGGCTTCCCACTCTCTTTTTCTTGAACACTTCTGTTCTCATTCTCATGCTATCGCAGTGTACAACGGTGAATCTAAGTCTTCTGACGGCATCAGATTCACAGCAGTGTGTCCGGACAATGTCGTGCAAGGGCATTTATTACCCTCAGCATTTTTACGGCTGAACTGTGTGTCATTCTTGTAGCACTTATCTGTGCACATCTATGCCTGTGTCACCATTGGTGGTCATTTCAGACTCCCTTAGTGCTTTACAGGCTATACGGAAATTTGATACACCTTACCCCCTAGTTCTTTGTATCCAACTTTGGTTACACCGTATCTCTAGCAAACACAAAGATATTGTTTTTTGCTGGGTCCCTGGTCATGTTGACGTACAGGGTAATGAACAGGCAGACACTGCTGTGCGGTCAGCAGTACATGGCCTCCCAGTTTCATATAGAGGTGTTCCATTCACAGACTATTTTGCTGTAATTGCTACTCATATTCACACTCATTGGCAACAACGTTGGTCTGATCTGCTCCATAATAAAAACTTCGTTCTGTTAAGCCAAGTATAGGTTTCTGGTCGTCTTCTTGTCATCGGTGTCGAAGTTGGGAGACTACTCTCTCCCGTCTTCGCATCGGCCACACTTTTCTTACTCACGGGTGTCTCATAGAGAGGCGTCCTGTTCCTCTCTGTGAGAATTGTCAAGTTCCAGTATCTGTTAGCCACATTCTGTTGGACTGCCCATTCTATCAACAAGCATGCAGAATTTACCTTCAACGTCGTCTCCTCTCTGCTGCCCTTTCCTTACTTTCCCTTTTTGGTGACGGACCCTCCTTTAATTCAGAATCATTGCCTTTTTGACAGCAACTGATTTACTACACAAACTCTGATGATGATGTCTCTGCCACTCTTCTCAGCCCTTTCCACCTTAACCTCTAGCTACACTCTACCCCTGCACTATTCACTGCCCCGCTGCACTTCATAACCTAATAATCATCCCTTTCCCTCTTACTACCCATTACCCTTGCATCCCTCCCTGCCTTGCTGCACTGTATAACCCTTGTGGTTTAGCACTTCTTTCTAATTATAATAATATTTATGAAGGGATTCAAGGAAACCGGCAGGCCGTTTGGGATGTACAGTGTCTGCACTCTGAAGGAGGGGTGTTCCTGTTGTAGTTTTATATCGGTAGTGTAAGCGCCCCTCTGGCAAGACAGTGATGGAGTGAATTATGAAAGATTTTCTTTTTCGGACCACCTTGCCTTGGTGGGAAACGGCCGATGTTTTAATAAACTACTACTACTACTACTACTACTACTGCTACTAATAATAATAATAATAATAATAATAATAATAATAATAATAATAATAATAATAATAATAACAATAATAATAATAATAATAATAATAAAGATTTTATGGAGGGAGCACTGGGTGAGCAGCTACAGTGGAAGCTGATTAAAACCACCATCACCGGAAATTCTGGAATTGACATATTATAAAAATTCATGTTGTTAACGCACCTGAGGACGAGCAGCAGCTTTGAGGTCGTTAGCTAGGTCATAGTGACCTGCCTGCCGGGCGAGGTCAGCAGGGGTCTCTCCGTCGTAGGTCACCACACCAGGCAATGCTCCACAGGTGTCAATTAGGTTCCACACAGTATGTTTGTTGGCAAGCCTGGCCGCCCAGTGGGAGTGCTGTCAGACCTTCGGCGTCTTGATAATGGAAGTGTCGAGTGTGACAAGCTGTTTCTTGAAGCAACTGAGGTGCCTTGGCCAGAGAAGTAATCTTGTTTGTTTCTTTTGCCCACTGAATCAGCTCCTCTCCCCATGACTCGTAGGCTTCCAAGCTCCTCTTCTGCAACACCATCAAGTGTCATTCAGTTCTCACACTCACATAGTGTATATAGGTAGAAAAAAAAAACTCATGTGATAACAGGAATATGTTCTCCCTACTCCACTTAACCACAGACAACATGACACTGTTTTAAACGTAATTAAATGGGTGCTTTTTATGACGCCGCCATGAGCAATTGAAATATGACATAATTATATGAGTCACATATTCGCGTTGCAAACTAATTAATAGTTTATAGTAGTTATTTATGATTCCGTTGTAGCCACACATAGCATAACCTAACATTACTTAACATACAAATAGGCTGCAAACTAAACGTTCAAGTGTGACATAGTCATTAAGAGGCTGGGTTGGCTCTCAACTCAACTTAGTTAAATTTATATTTAGAAATTATAAAATGCCTTCTGTTATACAATGAAAAAAAAATCTGTGATGACTTATGCTCCTTGAGTATAACAGTACAATTGGAAAGGACTGGCCAAGTGAAAAATTTAACATTCAGCATCAGAATTTTTAGAAAAAAATGCTGTACAACATCCATCATATCACTAAAGCTATAATGCATAATTTGTTCAACTAAAATTATGTTTGTGTATAAGGAAGTTGCATAACCCATACGGGTTTGTTGCATGCCTTAAACATAATACTAATATATATAACTGGAAAATAAGAGGTAATCGGCCAGACAGAGATGAACTCTCACGCATGAAACTCTAAGGTAGACACAAGTTTATTTTATAACACCGTCAGATTGTGATTATACAACTGTGTAGCTGTTATCGTCACCTCGTATCGAATCCCAACCAGGATATAGCCTATGACACTTAGGTAATCTTTAAATACCTATTTACTTCTAGGTGAATGAGGAAAATCATGTAAGGGACTAACATCCGGATACCTATTTAATGCTAAAAGAATACAGCAGATGATCCTAGACTCACTGTTCGTCTCGACTCAGTATTGTAAAATTTCGATTATGAGTCAATATTTTCATTTACCAGTCATGGGTACTGAGGCCTTGAGAAAATTAAAATAGGTTCTTGAAATATGCAGGTTGAGATTACGGTTTAATATTACCTTTAATAGGTTCTTGAAATATGCATGTTGAGATTACGTTTTTATTACCTTTAATAGGTTCTTGAAATATACATGTTGAGATTACGTTTTTATTACCTTTAATAGGTTCTTGAAATATGCATGTTGAGATTACGTTTTTATTACCTTTAATAGGTTCTTGAAATATGCATGTTGAGATTACGTTTTTATTACCTTTAATAGGTTCTTGAAATATGCATGTTGAGATTACGTTTTTATTACCTTTAATAGGTCTTTGAAATATGCATGTTGAGATTACGTTTTTATTACCTTTAATAGGTTCTTGAAATATGCATGTTGAGATTACGTTTTTATTACCTTTAATAGGTTCTTGAAATATGCATGTTGAGATTACGTTTTTATTACCTTTAATAGGTTCTTGAAATATGCATGTTGAGATTACGTTTTCATTACCTTTAATAGGTTTCTTGAAAAAATGCATGTTGAGATTACGTTTTTATTACCTTTAATAGGTTCTTGAAATATGCAGGTTGAGATTACGTTTTAATATTACCTTTAATAGGTTCTTGAAATATGCAGGTTGAGATTACCTTTTAATATTACCTTTAATAGGTTCTTGAAATATGCAGGTTGAGATTACGTTTTAATATTACCTTTAATAGGTTCTTGAAATATGCAGGTTGAGATTACCTTTTAATATTACCTTTAATAGGTTCTTGAAATATGCAGGTTGAGATTACGTTTTTATTACCTTAAATGAGCACTGTCTCTATACATGTTTTCCTTGTACAACTGTTGGTCAAAACTTAGAATTTGATATTATTCGCATTTGTCAACTTCAAAGCATCTAAGGCTTTACTATTTCTAATTATATCAAAATAATTTTTGCATTCAATATAATCTAAATAAATATTTGACAACTTCTAGTTCACAATTGTTGTTATAATTATTAACTTACATTCTTTGTAATATTATTATTATTTACATATTTTCTTTATTTTTAAATGCAAAAATTTTGTATGTGAACGGTGTTGACCGTTTTCTTATATTTATAGTGACTGTTCCTAGGAAATATAATCAACTTGAAAACTGAAGTTGGCACAGAAATTTTGTAAAGTTTCCTCAAATATAAATTACATAAGCTACACCACGAGCGGGGATTGAACCCGCGATCAGAGAGTCATAAAATTGCAGACAGACGCATTAGCCACTGGGCCAGCTAGCTACAATAAGATTCATTCAACTAGGTGTATTTATGCATCATTCTGGAGTTTTATGACTCTCTGATCGCGAGTTCAATCCCCGCCCCTGGTATGGCTTGTTTGCAATCGTGTCTTTACGATTTCATGAATCATAAATGACAGAAGTACGACATATTACTTAACTTAATCAAAGAATGGAAAATTATTTTTTTTTATTAACACATCGGCCGTTTCCCACCCAGGCAGGGTGGCCCGAAAAAGAAAAACTTTCATCATCATTCACTGCACCACTGTCTTGCCAGAGGGATACAGTTTATAAAACTGCAACATTAACACCCCTCCTTCAGAGTGCAGACACTGTACTTCTCATCTCCAGGACTCAAGTCCGGCCTGCCGGTTTCCCTGAATCCCTTCATAAATGTTACTTTGCTTACTCTCCAATAGCACGTCAAGTATTAAAAACCATTTGTCTCCATTCACTCCTATCAAATACGCTTACGCATGCTTGTTGAAAGTCCAAGCCCCTTACACACAAAATCTCCTTTACCCCCTCCCTCCAACCTTTCCTAGGCCGACCCCTACCTTGCCTTCCCTCCACTAAAGATTTATACTCTCTCGAAGTCACTGTTTCATTCCATTCTCTCTACATGTCCGAACCACCTCAACAACCCTTCCTCAGCCCTCTGGACAACAGGTTTGACAATCCCTCACCCCCGCCTAACTTCCAAACTACGAATTCTCTGCATTATATTCACACCACACATTGCCCTCAGACATGACATCTCCACTGCCTCCAGCCTTTTCCTCACTGCAACATTCATCACCCATGCTTCACTCCCACATAAGAGCGTTGGTAAAAAAGAGCGTTGGTAAAACTATACTCTCATATATTCCCCTCTTTGCTTCCGAGGACAAAGTTCTTTGTCTCCACAGACTCCTAAGTGCACCACTCACCCTTTTCCCCTCATCAATTCTATGATTCACTTCATCCTTCATAGTCCCATCTGCTGACACGTCCACTCCCAAATATTTGAATACATTCACCTTCTCCATACTCTCTCCCTCCAATCTGATATCTTATCTTTCGTCACCTAATCTTTTTGTTATCCTCTTAACATTTCTCTTTCCTATATTCACTTTTAATTTTCTTCTTTTACATGCCCTACCAAATTCATCCACCAGCTTCTACAACTTCTCTTCAGAATCTTCCAAAAGTACAGTGTCATCAGCAGAAAGAAATTGTGACAACTCCCACTTTGTGTTTGATTCTTTATCTTTTAACTCCACGCCTCTTGCCAAGAACCTCGCATTCATTTCTCCTACAACCACATCTGTAAATATATTGAACTACCACGGTAACATCACACATCGTTGTCTAAGGCCCACTTTTTCTGGGAAATAATCTCCCTCTGTCCTACATATTCTAACCTGAGCCTCACTATCCTCATAAAAACTTTTCACTGCGTTCAGTAATCTGCCTCCTATACCATACACCTGCAACATCTGCAACATTGGCCCCCTATCCACCCTGTCATATGCCTTTTCCAAATCCATAAATGCCACAAAAACCTCTGTAGCCATATCTAAATACTGTTCACCTATATGTTTCACTGTAAACACGGTTTACACACCCACTACCTTTCCTAAAGCCTCCTTGTTCATCTGCTATCTTACTCTCCGTCTCACTCTTAATTATTTTAATAATAACTCTACTATACATTTTACCAGGTATACTCAACAGACTTATTCCCCTATAATTTTTGCACTCTCTCTTTTGTCCCCTTTGCCTTTATACAAAGGAACTATGCACGCTCTCTGCCAATCCCTAGGTACCTTACCCTCTTCCATACATTTATTAAATAATACCTCCAACCACTCCAAAACTATATCCCCGCCTGCTTTTAACATTTCTATATTTATCCCATCAATCTCAGCTGTCTTACCCCCTTTCATTCTACCCACTGCCTCACGAACTTCCCCCATACTCACAACTGGCTCTTCCTCACTCCTACAAGATGTTATTCCTCCTTGCCCTATACACGAAATCTTAGCTTCTCTTTCTTCATCAACATTTAACAATTCTTCAATATATTCCCTACATCTTCCCAATACCATTAACTCTCCATTTAATAACTCTCCTCTCCTATTTTTAACTGACAAATCCATTTGTTCTCTAGGTTTCCTCAACTTGTTAATATCACTCGAAAATATTTTATTATTTCCAGCAAAATTCGTTGATAACATCTCACCCTCTCTCTCATTTGCTCTCTTTTTACATTGCTTCACCACTCTCTTAACCACTCTTATTCTCTCCTTGCATCACTTCTACTTAGTAACAACCACTCATATGCTAACTTTTTCTCCCTTACTACTCTCTTTACTTCATCATTCTACCAATTGCTCTTCTTCCCTCCCGCACCCACTTTCCTGTAACCACAAATTTCTGCTGAACACTCTAACACTATATTCTTAAACCTACCCCATACATCTTCGACCCCATTGCCTATACTCTCATTAGCCTATCTATCTTCCAATGGTTTTTTATATCTTACCCTAACTGTCTCCTCTATTAGTTTATACACCTTCACCTCTCTCTTACTTGCTGTTTCTATTTTCCTTGTATCCCATCAATCTTTTATTCTCACTGTAGTTACAACTAAAAAGTGATATGATACATCTGTAGCCCATCTACAAACATGTACATCCTGAAGTCTACTCAACAGTCTTTTATCTACCAATATG